AGTTATGTAAGGGGTGACTAAAGGGGATTGCGACCAAACAGAAGGTCACACCATCTTGGCCTTCATCTCTACAAAAACTGATGATGCTTGCTTGCAACTAGAAAATGAGGAATTCGGTACTTTATACTGGTTGCACAGATAGAGTGTCACTCGACATCTTCGAGGTCAGGAGCTCAGATCTGAGAAAGAAGGGATACATACTATGGAACTGAAGCCTGAAGCCTTACTTTAATTTACTCAGCCAAAGAGAAGGATAAAAAAGGTCGAGGTAAGGACTCTTTAGTTGGTTTGATCGGTTCAACGCTTTTTTTTAAGAAACCAATCCTTCGCTTTGCGAAGGTGTGTATGTTATGTTATGACACTATAATATCATATGATATGCTATGGCATCATTGTTAGACTTCAACATTTTTAGCTTAAAATAGCAGGGTTTAGAGAGACTAAATTAAGTAAGTAAAAATAGAATATCTTTCACAAAATCATTTTGAGCATTCTCCTGTACGATTGTGCACATGTGCTTACTTCAGCAAGGTTTGGTTACCCATCCAGAGCTCATAGAGGTTGGCTGGATTGCGGAAATAGTTGTCTTCGAAGATTTGACGGGCATTGGAGCAGAAAACTGTGGCCCGACGTCGATGGTCAAGAGCTTGATTTGCTTGGAATCCGTTTCTCCGGTAGACCGATCCCTGCGTCAGGCCCTCGGCAGCGGCAGTTGAATTGAGGATTAAATTACCCCGATTATCGTAGACCGTGTTGTCCCCAAACGGATGCACCAAGAGACCGGCAACGCGAATCACGTCACGTCGACCGCAGTCGTTGTGTGCAAGATAGTTGTTGCTGACATTCACTGTGTTGAAGTGGTTGCCTTCAAGGATAGGGTTTATGAATTTAGCAAAAGAGTTGACACTTGAATTTCAGAATAGCAAAACGCCTCTTGTCCCGACAAAGACTAGTCAGGTTAAGACTTCGTGGTCATCGTGTGTGTGTGTGCAATTAATGATTTCAATACCTTGGTATCATTCGCTTTCAGGTTAATAGTCGCCGTTCTTGTTTGATCCTTCTGGGTCGTATACATTTTAGTGGATATATAAATAAATGAACGAATGAATAAGTAAATAAATAGATAAATGAATGAGAGAATGAAAAGATGACTTGGTAAATGAATGCATAAATAAATAAATAAAAATAAACACATACAGTTAAATTTA